GTGGGTGACCCGCTGGCCAGGCTGCTGTCAACGCACGAGCCATCAAGCAAAAATCACAAGGAGCCACTGTCCTGCGGCACCGGCCCGGGGCTGGGGCAGGAGAGCAGAGGCCCCTGCCTGAAACAAGCCCATGGGAGACCACCACGGCAGCACCCGACATCCGCAAAGAGCCTGGCCAGCTGTCAAATCTGGATGTAGTGCCGGGATGCTCTTCCCGCCCGCCCTTAAACAAATGAGTTTAAAAAATAAAATCAAAGGACTGGCAGGAGTAACTAAACTGTTGCTGCTGTGCTGTCTTCTAAGTAATTTATGAGACTGGGCCAAAGAGTAAAGTCTGTGCAAAGCTTCTAATTTGAGGTAAGATCAACAATGCTGCAAAACAGTTTGTTTTCCCAGCGCTCGTTTGTTTTGTTTGCCAATGACATCAGTGTTTGCTGATAGGGTTTGCTTCCTGAGGATGCCTGCTATCTTGCCCGTGTTTCCGACTTGTCCCAGGCAGCCGGTACAACTCCACATTACACTGGAAACAGGGGCCAAACGTTTTTCTGGAAACTTCTCAGCAGCACTCTCAGTTGCAAAGAAACAAGCATAGGCTGAACTACGGAAATCTGCATTAGCACACATATACACAAACACAATGGGGACCTGCAGCCGCGGGCAGCTGCATACAATGGGACCAGGGGACAGACACGTAATCAGAACATCTTGTTTCAGGGATAATCTGTCCAAGACCAGGGATCTCATTCCTAGCGCTAAGAAAAGTCCCAAGCAGTCTTGAAGGATCTTTAAGTAATTTGGCACAAGAATTTCCTCTGAGCTGCTTCTGGAGCCCATTCTCAGTGGGAGAAACGCACTAATTTCTGTTCATGTTCTGCCTATACCTGTGGCAGGGCTTCCTAAAGTCCTCTTTTTTTTCCTGGGTACCACTATCATCACTACCGGCAGTGACAACAACACATGCAGCAGTGGCAGAAGCAAGTCCTATCTCCAGGCTTTGAAACGGCTTGCGTACCACTTGGGAATCTTCACCGGACGGCATTTAGAGAAGGCTGCCAGGCCTGCTCCTTTGGTTACTCCCAATTCCTGAGATCATCCTTGCAGAGCACCCACGTAGTTTGGTGGGAGACCAAAAGTGACAAAGAATTTGGCACTGAGCTGGCTGCTCTCTGTTATATCTCTCTCCCTCCCTCTGCTGCTTGAAATAAACTGGAACATGGCAACCCTTCAACTGTTTGAATACCACCCCTGAAAGTGCTTGCTTTCTTCCTGTCCATCTCTGTATAATTATTTATAGTATTTTGCAAGCAATTCTATATAACTTTATAGAAAAGAAAACATTATAAGAACATTATTCACGTTGCAGAACGAACCATACAAACATGAATTGCCAAAACTAAGGTACCCTGCATGGATGCGTAAGTTACCACAGTCTGTAATTACATGACTACAGAAGTCCTGCAGGACTCCAGCCTCATTTAATGCATAGGGTACATGACGCTGGTCTCCATAGCCTTCATCTACAGCAGCTATCCAAACACTGCCCTGAAGACAGAATTACCTAGCAGGCACCTGAACCACCAAGTGTATTATTTAGTTGGGTCACACACTAAATTTCCCTCAGCTCCGTAGAGCGTGGGGTGATATTATACCCATTTCATACCAGAAGTATGTCAGATAGAAGTATTTATGTGGAGAGACTAAAGCAAAAAACACCACTTTCCATTCTAGGTGCCTAATTGGAGGTGTCTCAAAAAAAAAAAAAAAAACTGATTTTTTTTTAAGCACTTAAATATTGAACTAAGTATGTTCAAAACAATGCTCCCACAGACTTACTGTTGCAAGTGCCCAGCGCTTCTGCAAGTCAAACCAAGCATTGCGAGTCAGGTGTCAACACAATGAGGACAAGGGAGTATAAAAAAAGTTGGCTGCAGTAATTTGTCTGTCTCCCTCTCTTCTGTCCCTCTGCCTGATCAGTCTAGTACCAGTGCTGTTCTCGTCCAGCCAGGCCCATCTTACCTCCTCCCAGCACGTCAGCTTCTCACCTCTACGTACCTCCGTGCTTTTGTTTCCCAATGCCCAGGCTTCTTGGCCAGCCAGGCCCACGCTCCCCTGCCTTACCCTCCAGCATCCCTCCCCCAGGTCACACTCCTGCTCCCATGAGTCCCAGCTGCTATTCCTACCCAGACTCCCATCCTTTCAGCCAGCCTGTCTTTCCAGCTCTCGGCATCCTCGCCCTCCTCCTCCCAGTCACATGTTCTCCCTGCCCAGTCCCTGACTCATGTCACTCATCCCAGTTTTATTCCTTTCCCTCCTGATGATCAACTTCTGGCCCTTCTACATCTCAGGCAGAAAAACCTCCTCCCTGAGCCTGCCTCTGTGCCGGACCTCTGCTCCCAGGTCCAAAGCCCCACCTCATCCTTATGTGGAGAAACCAGGAGCCATCATTACTGGAGAAAATCCAGCTTGACCTCCGCAGCCCTGGGCAGGAGCACCCCTCTGGGAACCACGCACCCTCAGCCCAGTCACACATGCTCTGGGAGGGTATGGAGCGCTGTCCCTACGTGGGGTGGGTTGCATGTGGGCTGGTCAGCACCAGAAGCTGGGATGTTAATGGATGCGAGGAGAAAATCTTCAGAAAATGGAGCAGCTAGAACCAGAGAAGTGTCTGCTGGGAACATGCATGGACTTTTCCAAGTCCTA